AGAAACGGACCCCATGGTCCGACTCTTCCGTGGTGCTGAACTGTCTGGAGACCTGCGCCTGCTGAAGCATTAGGGAGCGAGGCCGATGCGCTATGACCGCGATGATGTGCTGCAAGAGCACTCAGTGAAACTCATGCTAATTTTGGCTATGTTTTTGTTAATTAATTTCCATCGACTGCACAACTCTGGCCGGCCAACCTGCATTTCCTCCTCCTCACCAAACTGCCAGAGCAAGCAAAGCAGCAGCTGCGGAGAGCTAAAACATGCAACACACGTCGTTTAAGAAATGTAGGACTCGGAGTTCAGTGCCCCGCCTGGTCCATTTCTTGCTCAGCATCTGGCCCTGGGGCATCCACTGGTGCTCCTGAAGCAGAATCTTCCTCAAAGCCACCTTCCTCGCCATCGTCGGCTGGTTCCTCTCTGCCATCTTCATCACCAAAGCTGTCAGCGCTTGCCTGGCTGTCTTCCTCTGCCTCCGGCTGGACTTCACGGGGGCGGGCAGTCATGTCAAAGGCCGCCCCTGGTCCGACTTCGTCAGGATTTGAGAGTTCCTCATCGTTCTCCAACTCCTCTTCCTCCGCCTCTTCATTCCCTTCTCCTTCTTCCTCATCTTCGTCATCAAACGTCTGACTCCTTTCCGGAGCCGATGCTTGATGGATTGATGTCCTGCAAGGTGCTGCTTTGCCTGTCACTATGACATGCGGAAAGCAATAGTGCGCACAGAGTTTTGGGAATTTTCATAGGAAGATAGAAGAATGAAACTGCCCCTACTGCAGCAACTGGCAGCCCTATGCGACCTTTCTGTGTGCATGCCAGACGAACGATAGCTGTGATCTATCACGGAGAAGTCCAGCACACACACACACACACTAACGCTCAGGAGACTTTGTTAATAGCTGGCTTCGCTTCATTGCGAAGTGAGACATCCTTCAAGCTTTAATGAAACGATTATGGATACGCAAGTAAGCACGACCAACACGGACACGCTTCCTGGGGCAGTTCGCCTGTCAAACAAAAGCCAGGCTGAAAATCCCAAGCTCCAAAAATGTAATAATGTAATGAAGTCTCAGGGAAAAGACTACTTTTGACGCCGTGTAGCCAAAGTCCTGCTGCGGAAGTTGCTCAAAGCGAGCTTCTGCTGATCTTGGGTGGCAAAGATACCTGGGGAAGAGCAAGTGGAAGAAGCAATAGCAGAATAAGCCTCAAAAAGCATGGAAGAAGCTCAATGCACTGTCCGTTTTGCCAGAAATTCTGAGCATGTGCTGGGCCGGATACTCATCCAAGGCTCAGATATCTCATACGCAATGGGACACCTTGAGACTTAGCAGGAGCCAGCGTACAAAATGCCTGCGAAGCTGATTCGCTCAAAAGACTGAGTCTTCTGCGGCAATCTTTCGGGAAGCGGTGGTGGTTCCTCAGCCGCTCTTATTTTTGAGCCCCTTTGCTGCAACGCTGTCTTCTCAGACGCTTACAGGAGGCCCACCAGTCATTGCAGATTTGCCGATGCCTGGCTCAGCAATTCCAAGCATGCACTCATGCACTTATTGCTCAGACATCATTCAAAACAACACGTACTGAAGCCACCGGAACATAAGCGGATGTTTCAAAGCATTGCAGGCCCCAAAACCCGCAAATTGTGATGGAGGCCAGCGCGTCTTTTTCAGGGGGATGCACAAAGAAGCACAAGCCGCATAGCATGCAACTTGTTTCCAATGAGCAAACTATGAGCAAACTATAAGCAAACTGAACAGCCGACGCAATCTGTATGTGAAACACTTGTTCTTTGCTGAATGTCAGACCCATCCTTCCTGGCCGCCAAGCAGCCCTTAGGGCAACATTCGGACTTGTTCTGCACCCCTTTGACTGCGCAATAAAGAGGCATATGTATCACTCCCCACTCAAAATCAGATTAGGAAAGAGTAATCATCAAATACCACACAGAAGCACGCAACGGCGGTCTTTTTTATGGTACCCCTTTTTGCTGAACTGCTCGGCGTCGACTGATTTCCGGACTTCAGCAGCGTAGGGTTTGAAAAAACATGCAACTTATCTTCTCGTGCACATGATGCAAAGCAACATCGTATCTTTCATGTCTGGCCACTACCTGCGCGGCAGCCCGCCAAGCAAGCAGATTGATGAAAGCAGGCCGGTCCGACTTCGTGCAAGTACTTGTGGTACTGGAATCGTGACCGCCTCGTGCATTAAGGCAGCAACGACCAAACACAGACGCAGAGCGGGGAAATAAAAGGCCTCGTTGGTCTTGACAATGTCATACTTACCAGGGGTTGGAAACCGTGCCTGACACTCACTGCGAACGTTGAATCCGAAAACATCACCTAACAAACACTAGCATGGTACCACGTCTACACCAGTCTGAGCACAAGGTGTCCTGCGGGTATCTCCTCGCCATGTCTTCTGGAGACAGGCAGACCTAGCTGCTTTTGGTAGTGCTTTGCAGTCGACAAGCATGTTCTGGAGCAATTCACTAACTCAGCTTGCAAGGGCTTTTCTGGGAATTGGGCACGCCCGTATTCAAAGCCTTGCTCCTCTTGCAGGACCGTGAGAAGTTGAACGAAAGCATGGCCTTAGTTTGGCATGAACATAGACTCGAGCTAGCTAAACTTGAAACAAGAAAAACAAGCGCACAGAAAGTTTGTTGAACCCCGGAGAGCGCCCTGCTCCATAAATAGCGGCGGCGGTCCGTGCAGACAGCAACCACGTGGCAGGCCACAGCCTGCAGTCTGCTTGACTGCACTTTACGTGACCTTCTGACCTTGGCTTCATTGATACCACAAAATCTCTGTTGCTGGTCCTCCTGCCTGCTCAAAGCTCGGATCTTTCCGAAACAAACGCTGGGCAGTCTCAACGCTGAGCCATGCCAGTGCCATTTTCTGGCCTTCAGCCAGAATCTAAAAATTGGTCCAAGCATTTGTTTTTGGCATACCTGGTCATGGCAGCAACATGCTCCTCTTGTTGTGATCCACCTAAGGAGGCAGCTCTCGGCGAGAAAGTGCACCTGTCCGCAGGATTTTGGCCGCAAACGAATTTTGAGGCTTGATAAGCTTTCGCTTGCCTCATTGACGAAACTCCCTTTCCAACACCACTCCTGGACAATAGGGCAGCCTCATGCGATGCTTCGGTTGCACAGGACTCGCCTTCTGACTGTTGGGGGTGAACGCTTTATACCTTGCTTCGCTGCAAACGGCAAGCTTCTGAAGCTCTCCAGTGAGGCCACTCGGAGTGTCACCACACATCTCCGCCGATCCGTACAGGTCCTGATGCGTATTAGACAGGTCGCCGACACCTCTCATCATGGTCACTCGCGAATGCAAGCCGCCTTTTTGCCGGTTCTTTGCCTGTAGCTCCTCCGACTTAATCTTCAAGACCTCGTGGGAAAGGCGAGATCAAGCCGTCGCTGGACTTGTCAGCTGCCGCCTTCCAAGTTGGGACCAAGTCAGCACCTGACAAGGTGGACGTTGTGAGCGTGAGATCGCTACAGTAATCAGTAGGGTTTAGGGATAGTATCCCCCAATAATGGAGAATCAAATGGAAAAGAAAATGGAAAATGAAATGGAAACTGCTACAATATATAGGGTTACATAAGGATTACAGAGGGCCTGTCCTGCGCGCACTCCTGGGAGCCTGACCTAGGTTGTGACCTCGCAGCCAAGTGAGATGACCTGGAAGTTGTTTTGAGGCTGAACCGCTCAGTTGAATAAATAAGCAACTCACTTCACATTAGGTGTAGGCTCCAACACACACCAGCGGCTTCTCCAGTGACACAAATTGCAGCAATCGCCAATGCAGCAGCGAGCTCCATACCCAGGGCAGTATTCCGCAGTTGCCGAACTCGTGCCTTTTCATCCTAACGGGGCCTACATTGCTGACACAGCAAGATGACCAAAGGGCAACTGGAGCACCAGCCTCAATAAACTTTTCTTTTGCTGCTTTTTTTGCCGCCTTTTCTTGCAGCTCCTGATACCGCTGCTGCGGCCCCGCGCCACGCTACAGGCAATCGCTTAGACATTTTGACAGCAGCTGGCCTCTCTCCTTTCGTCTGTCATGTCCTCCATGTTTTCCTTGAAAAGCTGACAACAACGGCAAACACACATTGTGTCGGGCCCAGAGCCTAGCTAGCAACGTCTTGAGATCACGGCAGCAACACTAGATCCAAGACAAATGCTACTTCAAAAACTGTGGCAGTTGCCCAGAGCACCCCAAACTTCGCAATCCCAATACCAACCGATTTTTCAAACCCGGAAAAGCATTTTTTCCATTGAGCCTTGTTTTTTTCCTTATAAAAATTCTACTACTGACATGGAGGACCTACGCAAACTACGCGGAATGGTTGTTTCCCCTGCGGAAGAGACTACGCGGGGATACTCTTGCATTACTCTTGCTATTCAGGTGACTACGCGGACTACGCGGCACACGTGGCCTACGCAACGTGAAATGCAATATGTCTTATCAAACAAACAAACTACGCAGACTACGCGGACAAGATAACCTGCACGTGACTATGCGAGACTACGCCCTGCAGGCCCGAGGCTACGCGAGCACTCTTGCAGCTTCACGGCCATCATAGCTCTCATGCAGAAAAAAGACGCTGCTGAATTGATCTCACGTTAAAGGAAGACTTCAGGCTTGCTTTGTACAGCTCTGAGAAGCCTGCAGCCTGCAGGTATTACGGCGTGAGCGCGTTCAGTCTCAACTGCGTCATCACGTTCGGCATGAGTAGTCCAAAGTCACGTTGCTGAGCTGAGGATTTTTTTGCCAATCCATGGGAATTGACCGAGATGAGCCCAAAAGGGGGGGGTGCAAAATCGGGAACCGGTAGTCTAACAAGGTTCGAAGTCCAGGGAACCATATTTTGCTCATTGACATAGACCTTTCCCAGAGGTCCACTGCTTTTGTATATGCTGGTCAATGCTGTCACAAATTTCAGCATGCGGCTCTTCAAGACGCTGTTGCGCAGTCGTTCTAAGGGTAGGGCATCTTCTTCATCGGAATCTTCCTGAGATGTATGTGCTCTGCAAAAAGCACGCAGGAAGAGACTGGCACGCCTCCTTCAGCTCACCTTTGTCACCACCGCCAAGCCAAACGCTATTCAAGTTCTTGAACGGATCGTCTCCTGCAGGCAACAGATTGCTGCTATCTTGTTGAATTCGAGTTCAAGATCTGTGGTAAGCTGAGGAAGCCACCTCTGTAGACTGCATGCTGAAGCAGTAGCTGAGTGTGCTCGCTGTGAGGTTGCATCAAGACCGGCGTCTGTGCCTTGACAACTTCTGTTTCTAATGTTGCGTGTGCCTCAGGAGCCATCTTAAAGTCAACGTCAGCGACCACACGTGGTCCACCGATAGTCTTCAAGTTATGGTCCAGCTCTACATGTAGCAGCAACCTTTCCCAACCCAAGACGCTGAGGTGGACACTCGTTTCATCGACGGTCTTTTCTGCATGGCCTATGTCCACACTTCCAAACACGTCTGTCAGTTTAACACGGCATGCACCCAGCCTTTGAACGTCGCGATTTTCGCCTTTCAATCGGAGGAAGCACTACTCCTTCAATCTGACGACAGGATGCCAGAAATTCTCATTCATCTCTCCCTAGCTGTTCTGGCTGTCGGGATGGGCAGAAGAGGCTCATCGCACTGAGATGCCCCCAGATTCCGCAACACACAAATCATGTAGGCAGTCCTGTGTCTTTGCGTAGTCCTCCAAGCGACCTTTGCACCAGCGCAAGTCAAAGCTGGCAAGCGAAGCGAGGTGCCGCCCTGTGCAAGGCTTGGTGCCCTGCATGAAGGATGCACGACGACCGAGATTTGAAAGCATTCCCCCAACCCGACCTGAGGAAGGCAAAAGGTGGATGGCATGAGCATCCTCAAGGGTTTGGAAGCAGCAAGGGGCCAGCTGGACTGGTCCTGCACCGCTGCCAGCGGCCTCAGGCCGGTCTTTTTCAGCTTGGGAGAGCGGGCTCTGTTTCCTTCGTATCAATTGCGGCAGGCCTTCCTGCAGGAAAGCTAATTTTTTTAGGCCAGGTTGTTGCGGGAACTTGAAATAACACCTCAGCTTCACGCGCTATGGATGCCCGTCGTACTCTGGACAGCATGGCCCCCACTCCTTCGAGCACTGAAACACAAGAACATTGCAGATCAAAGTTGGGGAAGGCCCACTCGTGTTGAGAACATCGAGAGGAGATTGGCCCACCTCCTCCAGAGGGACTTTCTGGGTCTTGGTCGCCCGACCCGGCGGGCGACCTCACAAAGCTTTTGTATCAAAAAGGGATGCTCTCGACGAAAGCTAGCGAAAACTTCATGCACTTACTCGTGGTGCTTATGTTGGGCTGTGGTCTAAGAACAGCTCAAGAACGAAGATCGGCGCATCGAAGAGAGCATTGCGCCATGACCCTGCCAAATGGACAGTGCATACATTCCTCACGACCATGCAATGTGACATGAACATCAACATCGTCAAACTCCTGCGTAACCAGTGTAAGGACGGCACCCTCTCTTTCGGCTACCTACCCCCCGTAACCCACCGCCCTCCTGAGCCACAAAGGCCGCCAGGCAGTGCCATGCAGTGCCTATCTGATGTATTGGCTGAACGCAAGCTCTGGAAGCCGCGCATAGTGTGGTTGCTTTGGCATGGCTGGCCATGGCATCCCACATTTGTTTGTTGAGCTAATGTGAGGCATCCCGTCTTGTCATACGCCTGATCGGCCTGTTGCCGAAGCTGGCTCTGTTTCGCTCAGTTCCTGCCGGTGCGGGTAGCCTCCGCTGCCAAAGACTCGACGAGGCCAGCGGAGTCACAGCGGGCCGTGTCCAGCAGCTCCCACGCAGCAAGCTCCAGCTTCTCAGACCTAAGCTCGTGCCGACGCCATATCTTCCATGAGTTCTTGAGCTTTCGCACAAAGCAAGGGATGCGACAGCATTCACTGAGCTGACCACTGCTCGTAAAGGAAGGTGATGCTGTCTGGAGTCACTTCCAGGCCATGGCCGGCCAAGCAAAGGACCGCATTTCTCACCCTTGATATTCTTTCTCTCCTGGCAACGGCAAGAACTTGATGAGGGTATGGGGAGGCCGGCTTTTCTCATAACGAACTAAGTGTCTTTGACAGCTTCACTCGCCAAGTCTCATGTCGGGATTTACCTTCTGATATCGCACATCCATCTGCGAGAAGTTAATCGTCTCTTGCCTGCCTGAGCCAGCAACCTTGGGTGGAGCACAGACCCAAACCCAGCCATTGTTTCCCAGCACCACCATTACGCCAGTGCGGGGTAGCGTGACCAAGTGCTGTGCTTGGCGTCTCACATAAACAGACGGCACGGACGCAAGCACGCCGTTCTGAAGCTTGCCATACCTAGCATTTCGCGTCTGCAGGGCAAGCTCACCCGACTCATGGATCTTCTGCACTTCTGCTGAGATGAGATCATTCTCATCGAAAAATTCCCGCATGCGCAGAGTATCCTCGTCTGTCCGTCGGCGCTGCACATTGCCGGGCAATTGAATTGCCCCAAGGTGCAGGTAGGCCAGCTGGGCCGTGCCAATCTCCACTGCCCAGCGATCGGTTTGCACTTCTACAATGCGACCAACAACAACATCCCCAACGCTCCCAGAATAACGGTGTTTCAAAGGCCGGACGTACAGCAGCTTATTCACATGCTCCACGACACCGCAGGTTGTAGCAACTAGCTTTCCATCATGACGTTCCACGACACCACGACCACGCAATGCACCAGGCTCTGCTGAAACAACGTCTCCCGGGCAAACAAGTTGAGACTGCAGGCCAGGAATACTTTGCACAGAAAGCTTGGCAGAGTCAAAGAGTGCTAAGGAACCGTCCTTCTCACTGCGATCTGCTTTTCCTCGTCTCTCAACTGCCACTGCCCCAGCCAGCGGAGCAATTGCTGCTGCCCAAGCCATTGCTCACAGGCCCTTCGTTCATCAAAATGTAAACATAATATCTTTTCTTTGCAAGTGGCGTGGAGAGTAGCATGGGTGCTGCCATCTTCGCGGGGTGCAAACAAACATGTGCTGTCCACGCTCCTTGCTCGTTGTTCTTGACTTGGCCACGAACGCAGCCTTTGGTGCAGCCAAAATGGCTCACATCGGAACCTCTGCCAAATGGGGCGACTGGGGCCAATAGCACATGCAAAAGACATGCAGATACATTTAGCCTTTACTGGACGCAGATTTTTTGGCTCCTTTAAGGACGGTGTGCTGCGCGATCAATGCTGGTTACCAGCAGACGCTAATCAACGATTGCTAAGCTGAGTACAGATTTACAGCTGCGCCCCTCTGTTCACTTCGCGACTTTGCGCACATTTACTGTGAACGAGACGCATCTGCTACTGATTCCGAGCCTTGGTGACTGAGGACCCCAACAGGTAACTTTGTTTTCTGCATAGGATCTGGTAACCTGGTATAACTTCTCAGGCACGCCGTCTGCAATTCGCTACTGCCGCGGCGGGCCTTGTCAGACATCAGGGACCATTTGTGTCCGGCATCGAGAGCCGGATTGGCCTGTCAAATAAATGTCAAGGCTCAAAAGGCTTCATGTAGCATCATGTAGCTTTGTCGTTCTGACCTGTGCTCTGCTTGTCTCAATTTCTAGCCCAGCTGCTGCTCTGGTTCAGCCAGCCCAGCTCGAGCGTTGCTGGGGGAAGTGGGTTTGGAAGTTCGGGCACCTGAGAAAATGCACAGCAGGGAGCGCAAAAATGCTGATGAGAACTGGGCAACTCATGTCATGTTCCTCGGAGCAGTGCAGGCAATGGATGCCATCACTCGTCCCCAGAAGGTATCTTCTGAGTCTGGCCTCGCACATAGCTCCAAGAACTTTTAGAAAGGGGCACCTCATTCAATACCAGAAGACTTGCTTGCCGGCTTGTAGTCAAGGGGTTGGCAAGGGCCCCTGCAAGGAGCCCCCCAACTCGTGATGAGCCCAACAGCCCCAATCCCCTACAATGTGTGTGTGTGTGTGTGTGTGTGTGTGTGTGTGTGGGTGTGTGGGTGGGTGTGTGTGTGTGTGTGTGTGTGTTGGGGGGGCTCCTATTGTGCGGATCATATCAACCCTATTTAGGACACTTCCTGGCCTCTCTTGCGTGGGCGCATCACGCGCCTCCCAGAATCTCAGAAACAACAACAAGCAAGCCTGGTGTCTGAAACTGATGCTCCACAACCACGCCTCTTTGAGGGCATTGATCTCTCGCCTGAGCTTGGCATTCTCCGCCAAGACCTGCGCACATCATAGTCATGAACCACGCTAAGGAATGCGAAGAGCTCTCAAACGTCTGGCTGATGCAATTGAATCTGAGCACGGAAAACCCAGGCCCAGCTGTAGCAGGTTCTGCTCTGAGCCCTGGGCTACTTCCGCGTGGTCCTGCAACTCAGTACTGAGTCTGTCAGTTTCGTCGCAATCCAACGCAGCATCGTGCCCGCAGCGCTTTGTGAGGAATATGCAAAGGGCGTAAATATTGAATGCAGTGGCTACATACGTGCGATGCCATCTACATGACGCGAATACCTCTGTCCCACTATGCTGTCAGCGCCATTATGACTGAAGGCGCATAGCCCATCTCCTTCGCGGACTGGAGCTGCTTCTTGGCATCCTAGGTCTACGCCAGTCCCAGTCTTCTCTTCGACAGTATGGCCTGAAGGTAAAAGCTGCTCGCCTCCTGCTTGGCAGCCTCAAGCTCCTGCATCATGCCGAGGATGTGAAGCATTTCTTGGGCTCATGGGTTTCTCTCATGGTTTCTGGCGATCACTGCATGATTTTCTAAGGCTTGGAAAAACTCAGTAAGAACGAAAAGGACAGTCAGCATTAGCTTGACAGGTGTGGAGACTGGTGCTGTATCCCAAAAATTGGCAGGACACTTCTTGGGCAGCATCCCATCTGCCAGAACCTTGCGTACAACCATGTGCACATGTCTTGTCAAAGAGATTGGGGCACGGAGTCCTTCAGTTCCTCCAACTTTTGCCTCTGAACATCAGCATCCTGCAGCCTGCTGGCCTTCGCAACCAGGGCGCTAAACTTATGAAGGCAAAACATATGTGCGGTCAGAATTTCAAGCCTGGAGGGCTTGCAGCTGCGACTGCAGGGCTGTGAGCTCACGGACAGCAGCCCTGATGTCTTTTGCCGCTGCTACTTGAGTCACCTGGTCTGGATACTCTCATTTGGCAGGCATCCGGTGCCCCCAGCCTGAGATTTTTGAAGCTCGCTGTCTTGCTGCTTCGCGGATTCTGCCTGTGCTGGACTCTATATGGCTTTCCCACTGCTGCTAGCTCCGGGCATATTGTGATCCGAAAATGACCTGGACTTTCTGCTGCTTACCCGCCTTTGTCTCGTGGAGTCGTTGCTGGCACAGCGCAGCAGCCTCCTTTGTTCATAACGCATAGAAACAACGAAAAAGACATGATAGAATGTTGTTGGAAAGGTCTGTAAAGGGCCATGTGCTGGGTATCAACCCATTTGCGCTGAACAGGAGTGCCTCTTATCCCTCTTGTCTTCGCCATCCTATAGCCCCAAAGCATTGCAAGGCACCTTACCTTCCAGGCTGCCTAGCCAAGGGAGGCCCACCAGCTTAGTTTTTTTTATCGCAACTGTCAACACAAAAACGCGCGCCTTTACAGCTCCGAGCTCTTCCTGCAGGCTTTGGATTTGCCTTGATGCTTCAGCCTGCCAGCAAGCCCCTGTCAAAGCAAACTTTAAAACATCTGCACCTCTTCCTTTTGCCAGCACAAATCAAAGACTAATCCGCGCTGGCTGCAGACCTTCTGAAAAAATCTGCACACATAATGATTACTGTACCAGGGAAGTCGGGGAGGGGGGACTCCAACCCTGCGCAAACGTGGTTCCCAGCCGTGCCTTTGACTCAACAAGCTGTTGCTGGTACAGCTCAGCAACTTCCTTTGAAGACTCAGCATCCACCTTGGCAGTCACAGCTGGCAAAGTTAATCACGCCGCGTGATGTTAGTGAAGAAGCCCATGCCTTTACAGCTTCGAGCTCTTCCTGCAGGCTTTGGATTTGCCTTGACGCTTCAGCCTGCCAGCACGCTCATGAGAAAGCTTGCATCCTCCAGAACATCTGCACTGTTTGCATGCTACTTTCTCAGAAGCAGCATGAAATCACATTTGACAGCCTACCTGGGAATCGTCAAGTTGGCGCTGTCGCCGTGCCGCGAGTTCCTTTGAAGTCTCAGCATCCGCCTCTAGCAGTAGAAGCTGTCTCTGTTGGCAGGACGATTGTGGAAGCACATGCCCTGGCCTTTGCTGCTGCAAGCTCTTCCTGCAGGCTCTCTGTCTCTTTTGATGCTTCGACCTGTGGCCAATCTTCCTAAACATCAAGTCTGCTTACCCTTGATTCATAGCGGATGCAGGTTCTAGCTTTGCGCCTTGCTGCCAGTTGTTTCTTCATCGACTTCTCCTACTCCAGCGCGGATGTCGGTCAACTAAGCAATACCAGATCAGAACTGCCCGCAGCACCTGCACTATCTTCTACTTCATCTGACCTGAAAAATCAGTTCAAGTCACCCAGCGTGCGCAAGATTGTGCAGAACTGGCAAGCAAAAGAAGTCTTTGGACCAGGCCTGTACATTCTACACCCAAGATCAAGATAGAATGAAATGAGTTCCAGGGAGAATGGTATAAGATCAGCAGTTTCGACCAGCTTCTGCCGGAAACCGCGTCAAGGCGAAGTGAGACCAGCGATGATGAGTTCTGAGAATAACGCTCAGCGATTGTGTCCATGACTTCATCCTCTGCCATGTCTTGAAACCTGGTCGCAATCTGCACGAGTTATTGCAATCTACGCTCATGCTTATGCTTGGTCTCCCAGCTCGTCCGCCAAAGATGCACTTGCAGCGGCGCTGTCTCAGGAGAAGCAGAGATAGAATGTTGCAAATGCTGCAGCCCAGAAAGGTTCACTCAGACTGCGAAGCTGCTAAGGTTGGAGCTCAGAGCTTCTTCACAGGCAGTTGGCATCCATTTCCGCTGGTGATCCCTTGCCTGCTGAGATACGCGCTTCAAAGAAGCTACACTGCAGCGGAATCCCAAACAGCTTTCATTCTCTGAGAAGGCATTACACGCTTGTTCTCAGCCAAGGATGGGTGAAAGGAAACAATACTAATAACGATAAGAATAGAATAGATGTTATTGTTACTATTATTCTTATTGTTATATTTGTTGCTATTATTGTTGGTATTGCTACTACTCTTGTTATTTTTATCTGTCTTACTATTATCATTGTGGTTATTGTTGCTATTGTCTTGATTCTCATTATTGGGCTGCCTTCGTCCTCAAGGCCTGCTCCTCGAGCTGAAATTTCAGATCTCGCCTTGCAGCGAATCCCACAGCTGAAAAAAGCCCGACTGTACATAATCATAATGGTAATGGTAGCAATGACAACAATAATAGCAACAGCAGTAATAAAAATATTTTGAAAAATAATGATGATGATGATGATGTACTGGCTGCAAGTTCCAACTGCTTGCGGAACAGGAAAACTTCCCCTCAGCTCCAGTCTCTTTGGTTTTTGCCACTTGTAGTTCTCTCTCCTTGGGGCAAGCTGCCGCAGTGTCCAAGTGCTAGCTTCGATGGCGCTTGGATATATATGACCCCTACGTATCCCCTACACATATCCTTGTATATATCCCTATAGTCTCATTTTCTCATGTCCATTATAACCCCTATATCCCCTAAACCCCAAAAGGTACACTAGATCAGGAGTGCTCAATTGAGTCTGGGGACTGACTTCTCGTTTTCTTCCACGAGAAGCTGCATCTTTTCCTGCAAGGCCTTGCCGTGATCCATCCGCATTGTGCAAGAAAGCAGGCGCACACCCAGCAAGGTGTGCAGGTGGATCCAGAACACATGAGTTCGTGGCCAAAACCACCTAGACCACTGCAACTGAGAGGAGCCTTGAACTTGACTTCGCTTTGCGCAGCGTGGGACTTTGCCGCCTAGCACACATGGCTTTTGCATGACAACAGTTGAAGAAGCCAAGACAAGATTGATTAAGAGTCAGCCTGCTCCGCAGCCTTTCTCTCTTCGACCTCCTGCTTTTTGGACTCCACTTCTGCCTGTGCAGTGAGCAAGCTCACCATCGGCATCATGCCTCAACAACTACCTTTATTCATATGGCTGCATAAATGTCCGTCCTCCAGTGTGTGTTGCAGGTGCTTGGCTGTTTCGCGGGTCATGTGGAGCTCATGCTTCAGCTTCTCGATCTCCTTGCCCACTCTACAGTAGCACAACATCGTTAGAGGCCTCATGTTGCTGTTCTGCCTTTTGCCTGAGGTTGCCACTGCGGCCTGTGCAGCCAAACGCGGATCAGGGAGTTCCTCTTCCGGAACTGCATCGTCCTGCATGTAGCAAAGTTGCTTTGCAGAACACTTGGGAACTGAAGAAAACTCTGCTTTGGGGCCCTCTGGGGGCTCGACAAGTTTCACAGAGCTGGCCTTCCTGGATTTCCTTTTAGTCTTCCGCTCAAAGCCTAAGCACGGCGGAATCGCAGTACTCCATCAGCTTACGTTCAGACATCCGTCACTTGTTGTGCAACGCCTTCGTCGTCCTCCTCCTCATCCTCACTGTCTTCCTGCTCCTGGCCAAAGCAAGTCCAAGGTCATGTTTCTGGATGATGCCCAGTCTTGCAAAGAAAGGCTAAGATGCGCTCCCACCTTGCAGTTCTGGTGGAAAACATGATGAGAAATGTCACTCCAACTGGGGATCTGCGCAAGATGACGATCCGTATGGCGGCTGTCCAAATTCATTCATCTTCAATTGGGGGCTTGCGCCATGCTCGTGCAAAGCTTGCACGCGCACTTTGGCTGAAATGATTTTCATGGAAGGCCCATGACACTGACAAACTGAGATGGCAAATATTGTTGTGTATCATAAATGGCTCGGCTGGCCAGCAACCACCCACTTCTTGAACGTTACCGCTCAAGACGAGCCAGGGGCCAGAGGCTTGCAACAGCCACGGGCGCTTGGGCGGAGCTTGCGTGGATTTGCCGTGTACTGTGGTATTTCCGTTGACGGCATCATGGCTAACATCAGGGGCCCAAGTAACAGCAAGAGACAGGAGGCATAGTAAGCTCCTGCACAAGGATACAAGACCGCAGAAACGTAGGAAACGCCGAACTGAAAGCGCAGCACAGCAAACGACAAAAAGGGTGCAGTCATGGCAGGGCCATGGTAAAGTACTCGGCCATAATAATTCGATCATGGGAATTACAAAGGCGCATGATAAGGTTTTCCCAGGGCCGCAGTGCGAGTAGTCAAGTAGCTATGGTCGGAAGGAACTCATCGCTGAGCGGTTGTTCGGTAGTCAAACCGTCAAATCCTTGCGCTGTTCCTTGCGTCGTGATTCTACGCGCGCGATCGCGCGCGCATACTCTTTGGCAAGTCCTGTTGTACTTGTTTTGTTTGGTATACACCTCATGGGATACAGTGCCCATGTGCAAAGAAAACAGGGCATTTGCGCTGCTCTCTACGACTACCTCACACTTAACTTTCCACTGCTGTGTTTTGAATACCGAAGAAGAAGTGTCCTGCAGCTTCGCATAGTTCTCCTGCAGGCGCCGCAAGTCCTCCTCCAGCCTGGGCTGGCTTTGACCAGATGTTGCATCGCTCCTAGTAGCGGCACTAGAGTATCGCTGCTGCTCCAGCTAACGAATGTGCAACTTGTGCTTGTCCCAATTGCCATGATACAATTTGTTTCTGCTCAGGCAAGTGTCGACTGGTTGTGCTGCATGAGGTCTTCAACCTGAGTTTGCTGCTGCAGTTGCCGCAGTGCCAGGCAAAAACTACCACAAGCCGAGAGCCGCACTACCACAGTTTGCCCTCTGCGGCCACGTCGCGGCACGGGCTTTCTTTCTGTCCTTTGGGTCCTGCGTGCTTTTTCTGCAAGTAGGGAAGCAAGATGCATCGTAAACACGCTTCTGAAGACCGATCCTCGTCATCGCTATCGTTGCTGCCAGGCAGAAACGCCACTCGCCCTGGGGGATGCATCTTGAAGCGGCCGTCTTGCTGCTCAAGCGAGCCAAAGCCACGAGGTGCACTTGCGCCGTCATCTCCATCGGCGCTGGATGTATTAATGCGTGTGAAGGCTATCGTGCTCGCACGACCTAAGTTAGCACCCAGGACAGCCGCAAATGGCAAAGCTGCACCCAGCTCAAACAAGCAATGACATCCCACTGAAGTGCCGGACGGCTTGTTGACCTTGCCATCATGTCTTGCACGCCGATATCAAATCACATGCAAAGTTTCACACGAAGGGATTGCAGTGGCTCCTTCAATTCCAAAAGCTGTTCTTCGAGATTTCAAGAGCTCTTGCGGCCTCGTACTTTTTTCGGCTTGAATTCCCAAGAACAACACAACAGCTTGTCAACGCTTGCTCGGGTAAGGCCTCCTTGACTGCAAGCAACTCTTGCAAAGCAGCCGCTAGGTGACAGATTGAAATCAGCAAGCCTTGGCATGCGCTGAGAATGCAAGAGGGATGTAACAGCCATTTGGGAGTGTCCAGCGCAGAAGGCTAGCCAAGAAGGCCAAGGGGTCAAACAAGGCACTACCCAAGCTGTCCTTGAGCAACGGTGAGCAGAAATCGTACAAAACCCGAGTCACTGGCTGCCGGCGTTGCGCCTGCTTGCGCAATCCCTTACCATTCTGATGTTGTCCCCTTGCATTGTCGGAAAGTTGATGCTTGCCTGGCTCTTGGGTGACTCATCGGCAGCTCGCTCCTGACATGGCTGGTCTGGGCCTTTGAGTACGTAAGCACTGCTTTCTGGCAGCTAGCCCCATGCGGCCTTCTCCTGGTACTCTTGGATAGTGCGTTCGTGTTCCTGTCGAAAAGCCCTATAGGTTCTGTCTTCACGGCAAAGCTCCGAAACTTTGTCCTGCACTTGAGCCAACAGATCCTGACCTCAGAAGTGCTTAGTTGCATTCGATTATGTTTGAATTTGCGTACAAGCCGAAAATTGCCAGGACCACGCTGGACAAATCACTAGGATAGGCACCATACTCCGCCGCCTTCTGAAGGGCAACTTCCAGCTCCTCTGTGGAGGCTGATGCAGACTTTACATTACACTGTCATTACACTCATTGCACGGGAGATTTAAGCTATCCCACAGAACTCGCGCTGCCCTTTACCGCATGCCTGCCGTGCCGAAATTTGTGCCTCAAGCTCCTCAGCTGCAGAGCTGCCAGTTGTCAGTGATGCTTCGCCAGGATCAGCAAAAAACAGGCTAGCCAGACAAGCATGATTTCTCCTGACGGAGTTCTTCTTCAACTGTCATGGCTAGGCAGCTAGGCAAAAAACGTCAGGGGTTGAATGTTGCTCTTGGATCTGCACTATGTTGATCGCCCGGCCTGATCTAAAGTCCAAAAAAAAAGATGTTTGTACCTCAATGTGCGTGCGCTAAGTCGATTTTGGGAACTCAAATGCTTGCACGGGTGTGCTAGTGGGTGAGCCGGTGAACAAAGGCCAGCCCTTTGTTGGCAGCTTTGTACCAACTTTGATCCAGCAAGATTCCAAGCCACATATTGCGACAATCGTACGCACGGAAATCTGGTGATATGCTACGCGCCCCAGCAGTAAACATGATGCGGGACTTTGGCATGTCAGTTGCCACTCGGCTAATCTGTGCAGGTCGCATCCCCGAACAGGTCAGGCTTCGTCGGCTGTCCTGCGGGCTCAGTGCAACAACTGAGTATGAGCATCTCCCGTGTAGCAATCCATGCAGGGGAGGGGCAGAGTGGATTTGATGGCGCTCACAGGCGCGTGCAACTTGGACCTTTGTCAAGGACGAGTGAAACAAAACAGACACTGCTTCGCGTGCTGCCTACTTACTGCCCAAGCAGCTGGAAAACACAAAGTCAGCTTCTGTCTGTGTCCCTTCGCGCTCAGATGTTGTAGTGTAGAACTTCCAGCTGCAGTGTCTCCTCCGACGAGCTAAGAAGCTGGACCAGGTCACTGGGTGTTCCACCACTACCATTCACCGTGATAATACGATCATGCGGGCCCACTGAAAGCTCGGGCATATTGGTGTTCCATTGGGCCACAAGTCCTTCGGAAATGCTTGTGATCCATGGCTTGACGGAGCCTTTCCTGGTCTTGGTATATGTCAGATCCATGCCCAGTCTGCCTGGCTTCTGCAAATAGAGCAATCGCTTCTGCGGCTTTTCAATAGTCAAGTTCACTGTGCCAACATCTTCGGACTTGCTCTTTTCTACCAGGTCAGTGGCCACACATGGCTGGCCATTGATCTCGATGATCCGATCAAAGGGGAAGACCTGTGTCAAGCTGTGCTTGTTCCACTCGGCTACCGCACCATCGCAGTTTGCGAAGATCACGCACTTGTTGTCCGACAGATCCAAGTCCAACGTCTTCAGTGCGTCTACGCCCTTCAGAGTCATGACGAATCGTTCATCACCTGAGCAGCAGGCAAGGTAATGACAGCTATCATGAGCAAACACGCGAACACAACAAGGCATGCGGAATGCGCTTCTGTCAAGACTTTGCTTCAGACCCGGCCCCGCAGACATTGCTGCAACCATGGGCGTCATTGCTATTTTTGACCCATTATCGTTCTGCACGACTAGCTCGGAGTCGCCAGCGCAGCAAGCGCCGCACAACATCCTCACGGCCAGCCTGTTTAGGTAGCCGCTTTGCTCACGCAGAGCCAAGATGGCTGCGAGCAGCTTCTAGCATTGACTGAATAGAGTCTAGAAGTGTAAGGAAGGAAAGCTGAGGTGGTGTCATGTGCTGTGATGCTATGCGACTTTTTCTTCGCTTCACGATTTCCATGCGGATCCCTTTACCGGACGTTTTGCCTGGAAATCAAGTCCATCAGGGCCGAGCTCGGCTGGAGATCATGCTGGGCGAGACATCCTCAAGCAGTTCCAACGAAGAGTTCGCACTCCTCCTCCTTGCTGCTGTACCGCAGCATCACGTCCGGTGTGCACGACTGCCCTGACAACATCTGGCCATGACATGCCAGGACGAGGAAAGTGGAGCCATGCATGCCTCGGAATATCTCAGGATGTCAGCCTTGAAGGGTGGAGGCTGCCAGGCCACCCCAAGCGGCATACCTTTAGCTTACCATCCTCCATGCCTATTGCAGCCCAATGTGTCTCATTGAAAGGGCAGATGCCCTGCCAGGGAAGATTGCGCTCCAGCTTCCAGGGTCCTCTCCAAGCATTTTCGTAGCCGAGGTATTGGTAGAGGGCAGCTTGGTCCGTCATCAGCAAGATGTCGTCACCTCTGAGACCGACAGCTGTCCATTCTCCAGCTTCCCTGGGTGCAGGCTTCAGTGCCAAAAATGTGATAACTTCCCTTTAACTTTGAGTCGACCGCGCAGATTTCTCACATAAATGGAGCCAGTTTGAGCTCTCTTATTCACAACTGCTGACATGGGCTGAAGCTCCTTGGCACTCTTGGGAGAGGCAGTGATCCAGCCACCTGCCATGCACCTCCTGAAGCTTCGAGAGGAACTAAGCGTCCGTGCCAGATTGCAACACCTCGCAAGGCCAAAAACGCGGGAAAGTTCAGGCATCTACGTGTAAAGGTTTGAGAGGGTATAGCACGCCTTAATTGGAGAGGTTTGCCCCTGATGTGTATGTCACGTGCATCTGCATGTGTCTCTAAACTTACATGTATGTTTCGCCTTGCATCTGACGGGCTGACAGGTGCGGAACAGGGTTGATTGCCAGTGCCCGAAAATGTGGCGCAGAAGAATATGGCTGATGCTGTGGCGCTGAACATGATTCTTGGCCTGAGGTCCCCATATCTTGAAATGGCCACGCCCTGCAGCAATCATCCGTTCCTTGGCCGCACTGTCACACCCCAACAGTGTCGTATGGGAAAATATTATGGGAAAGCCAAGCTTCTTGCAGCAACTGCCTTTCCTGCTTTGGTGAGTGCCACAGCAGATATGGGTGCGCCTGAACAACTGGCCAGCGGGCCAAGCCAAGTGGAGTTGGTCGAGTTCGCGGCACTCCAAAACGCACGCACGCCATCCGTCATGATGAGCTGCATCCCATCATTTGCGCAGCTGGCTGACACAGGTACCACCCATGGCCGAGGCAGGTCTATCTCAGAGATTTGCACCACTGACAGGCGTTGGCTATCGTCTCCATTCAGGTCTGCAGTTTCGTTGCTGCTGCTGTCAGCTTGCATGTCAGGATGACCCAAGTTAACAACTAGGGAAGTGAGTGGAGCCACCAGCCAAGCAATGCTCACTAGCGCAGCGCTGGCCTGGAAAAACCGCCGAGCTGACTCGCCCATGCTGCTGTTTGCTGCATGACCCTTGGTTCTGAATTGGGCCTCGAAAGCCGTAAGGCTGGAGGCTGCATCCGGGCAGCCACCATATGCTGCCAGTCTTCCAGCATCACGCATGGTCCAGGAAGACAACTGCTTTGCAGGGCGCATGGCGCGCAAGAGCACGGCAGCTGCCTCCAGCAGCTCTCCGACAGTGGTCATCTGACCCTTGTTGCGATTGAGAAAAGGCGGCAGCTGCTCACAGCAGTTGTGCATCTCAACCCAAACTTTTTCAGCACGTTCAAGTCCCTCTGTTGGAAGCGCAAGCCAGAAACCATCTTCGTGTAAACTTGATCCTACTATTGGCCCGGTTGGTGCGCCTCCCTCCGAAACTGCTCGGCGGCTGGCGAAACCTTTGGAGCCCCCTTTGCCTCCATTGGTCGGCCTGCGCCAGTTGGCCTGCAGTAGCGCCTCCTCAAGGCGGGCTCGACCACGACGAATCTCTTCCATAGCTTCCTCTTGCAAGCGAATGGAAACGCTCGGTTGCAACAAGGCCTCCAAGCACTGAGACAGTTGGTCTGCAGCTGCAGCTGCGGCTGGTGGAGGCGCTCGGGACAAGTTGCTGGGCCTTGCCAATCTTCCAGTGCAGCTGCTAGAGCTGGGCGCGTAGGGGTTCAAAATGTCTATGAACAACGAAGCACGCCAGCGTCTGGGCAGACCATGTCTCAAAGCCAGTGATGACCCGCAAAGGAGCCACACCCAGCATGCTTGAAGCAAAAATACGAGAGGCATCAGCACGCGCAGGTTTGAGGCGATTGAGACTGCTGCCATGGCTGGTCCGCACAAGGATACCGCAGCCCAAACGAGATGCTCTGTGCGCGTCAACACTACATCTATGGTCACTGACCACCAAGCTAGGACAGACATGAAAGCAAAGGTAAACCAGCCAGACGCATAAGGGTCCAACACTTCCCCCTCCTCATTGCTCCGGCTGAAATAGGTGGCATAATATGCAATGCCTGAGAGCATGGAACTTGTTCCAATTGACATGCAAACCTTGCTGTAAAGGTCAAAGGTCTGCCAATTCCGCATCAGAAGCGAATAGAACTTCAAATGCGGATTTGCATCCAGTTCATCGCTTGTACCACTTGCACTGCTCTGCCGACCTGATTGGCTTACGCCTTCTGGCAGTGTTGCCGCGAGATTGTTTGCTGGGGGCTCCGTTGTAGGGTCCACAGCTGGTGCCCATGGTACAGGCGAACTCCTGGAACCATGGGCGCCTGCAACTTCTGGACCGTTGTGCTCATGGCCAAACTGGGTCTTTGGCTTCTTGTCAAGCACACTGTCCAACGGCAACCGGAAGGCATCATCAAGCCGAGTTTCGTATTCTTTTGCCTCCGGCACGGACGTTAGAATGTCATCATCTGACACAAACGGGATGCGCGCAGTCTGCAGAAGCATCTTTGTGGTGAGAGATTGCGCAATGATCGAGGCATTCATTGCCATCCACACTGAGATCAGCAAGAACAGGAAAGACGTCAAGAAACTTACAGAAAACAATAGGGTGACCTGCCGAACCATGTACCCCGCAGGTTGCGCAGGATCCTTGACATCATAGTTCAGGAAAATGGCCACAATGAAGCCCAGCTTCAGAGTGTTCACTATGAGGTAGCTATCCATCTTGTTAACCGTCAACGCTGCCAGGTCACGAATGTCCTCACGAAACAATTCATACCGTTGCACTGACAAGTTCTGCTTCTGGAACTCGCCTGCTTGCTTGACCTGCCAGTCCCACTGCCAATTTTCTCTGTTGTAGGACCAAAGGGAATGAGCGAAGCCCGTGAAGAGTGCAGTCTCCGCCAACGGCATGGCAGGCAAGATAGGCATCTACTACAACTTTCCACGTGGCATCGCTGGAGATTCTTGGGCCGCAGAAAGCCGGATGCGCCGCTGTCCACCGCAACATAGCAAAGCTGACTTTGTTTCAGTACACAAGCGGCACAAGCCTCAGGGCTAACTCTGCTGACACCTTCGCCGCTGCATTTCACTTGCACTATGTTGCACTGCTTACTGCAACTGATGTGCTGAAAAAGCTTGCCTGCATGCTGGGCATGTGCTCCTGCTGCACTTGTCCCAAGAAGTCACTCAACCTCACGATAAACTTCCTATTATGTAGGCACACAGTCTGTTTCGCTGAGAAAGGCTCGGCCCCACGTGGTTCGAGAGCTCAGGGCAGGCCTCTGGAGACTCTCCACCTATAGTCTAAGCTCCCCAGTAGCATCAATGCCTGCAGTATTTGCAGCGTCTGCTCAAGAAGCGCAATACCCTCCATCTCCTTGCACAACAAGCGAATTTAGAGAATTGGTCAGATCTGCAAACTTTACGCCATTCTTATCAGCAATGTGTCCTTTAAGCTGCCGAGGAATTTCTCCACGAATGCCATCCACTGGTTGAACTTCCTTTGATCTTTGGGTGCTCATCACTTTCATCAGACAAATGCGGTCTGAGTAGCTAGGAACCGCGCCAGCCAGGCCTGTGCCAGCCAGGTCCTACAGTCTTCAGCAGCTCGTCTTTCGGATTAATGATGGAGGCATTATGCCAGGATGCCTGCAGTCCGTTTTGGAACAGGATAGAGGTAGGTCAGAAGGCTGGCGAGGACCTGCGCGCACGGAGAATATGACACGAGCTTGGAATCCAGCAAGGCAAAAGCATGTAGCAAGAAGACTCTGTTCATTTACATCGCGCAATCTCACCAGTGTACGGCTACTTCAAGCATTTGCCACATAAACCCCTGTAGGGCCTGCCGCAATCCAGCTGGAAGGTTTGCATGTGCCGGGACATGACTTACCTAATACAGTGTGCGGATGGCAGGGTTTGAATCATAATTCCACCCGACCCTGCCCAAAAATCCAGATGAGGTCTCTGCCACCTCATCAACCTGAGAGCACTGGTTGCAGTTTGCTGAGAGTTCATTACCTTTCGTACAAGGTTGCTGGCAGCGCATTCGATGTTGCGCAACTTGATCTTGTGGGTCCTAGCAAGCTTTTTCACTGCGTTGGCTGGCTGGCTGGCAAGTCATGGCCTGATTAGGTCTGCCAGGGCTTCTGTCAGCTGTTGCTGACCTCAGGTGCGTCAGACAGAAACGCAAACTTGGTCAATCAAGCCTCTTCAATTTTTTGGCAAGCAGCTGGAAGGACGTTCTGCTGCGGCTCTGAGGAGTGTGACAGCCTGTTCCGAAGGCAGCTGAAATATGACATGGCTGGGCCGATTTAGATGCCACTCTCCCACAAATGCTTTGAGCTGCTGGCACAAATCAAGTTAGCGGAGCTGCGATCCTTGCTTCTTGGGCAGCTTTGCATACAACTGTGTATGCCATTCT